CTCCTCCTGTTTACAGGTTGGGGTCATGATGTTGAACAAGTGTGCAAAGTTTCAAAGCCATATGTCAATGGACTTTGAAAATATTTGAACTATTACAAAAACTTTAACGTAAATTCTAAGTCGAAAAAGGGGCATAATTCTGTCAAAATGCTTGATAGAGTTACCTCCTCCTGTCTACAGGTTGGGGTCATGATGGTGAACAAGTGTGCAAAGTTTTAAAGCCATATGTCAATGGACTTTGAAAATATTTGAACTATTACAAAAACTTTAACGTAAATTCTAAGTCAAAAAAGGGGCATAATTCTGTCAAAATGCTTGATAGAGTTACCTCCTCCTGTCTACAGGTTGGGGTCATGATGGTGAACAAGTGTGCAAAGTTTCAAAGCCATATGTCTATGGACTTTGAAAATATTTGAACTATTACAAAAACTTTAACATAAGTGGTTACGCCGACGCCGACGCTCGGGTGACTGCAATAGCTCTACTTATTCTTATCGAATAGTCGAGCTAAAAAGGACAATACGTTTAGGTTTGCTATAGACTTTAGGAGATTAAATGCAGTTACCAAACCTATAAATTTTCCTCTACCAAGGTTTGAAGATGTTGTAGATTCTGTAGGTGAAAATTCATCCAAGATATTTTCTGTGTTAGATCTGAAAAGTGGTTTTCACCAAATTCCTTTAGACCCAGAAACTAAGCATAAGACTACTTTTGTAACACACAATGGCAGTTACAATTTTAAACGACTTCCATATGGCTTGCGTAATGCACCAATTGCTTTCCAAACAGTGATGTCTCAAGTTCTGAGGGGTATAAATTTCAAGTTTGCATTGGTATATGTTGATGATATTCTTATTCACTCATCAAATTTTGATGAACACTTAAAACATTTGGAAATTGTTTTTGATAGGCTTAGAGATGCTAACTTGAAGCTTCAGCCTAAGAAATGTAGATTTGCAACAGAAAGGGTTGAATATTTAGGTCATTTGTTTTCAAAGAATGGTATTGAAGTAAATCCAAGTAAAATTGAAGCAGTTACCTCATTTCCTAGGCCTAAAAATCAAAAGGATGTTAGGGCTTTTCTTGGTCTATGCAATTACTATAGAAAATTTATAGCTGGTTTTGCAGCTATTGTTGGACCTTTGAATGATTTGTTGAAAAAGGGGCATGACTTTAGTTGGACAGAGCAATGTGAAAAATCTTTTAATGACCTAAAGGTGAAATTAACATCATCACCTATTCTTGTGTTTCCTGATATGTCCAAACCATTTGTTTTATCAACTGATTCCTCAGATTCTTCAATAGGCTTTATTCTTGGGCAAGTTGATGAAGAAAACCGTGAAAGGGTTATAGCTTATGGCGGGAGGGCCTTAAGAAATAATGAGCTTAAATGGAGTATTCATGAAAAGGAATGTTTAGCTCTCATTGATGCAATTAAACAATTCCATCCTTACCTTGCCGGTTCTAAATTCACTGTTTATACTGACAATCTTGGAATGAAATACATCCAAAGTTTGAAAGACCTTAATGGTAGAAAGGGTCGTTGGGCACTTAAACTTCAAGGGTATGATTTTGAAATAGTTCATAAGTCTGGTACCAAGAATTCAAATGCTGATGGTCTTAGTAGGCGTGAATATCCTCAATTAGCAAGTTGTAATGGTATAGATATTGATTCGAAACAAGTGTTGCAGGCCGAATTTGATTACTGTTATAGTTCTGTTTGTGAGGAAATTCCAATTTTATCTGCCATTGAATTAGACGATGAAGACTCAGATGTTCAACCAACCAATGCCCCAATCATTAATAATGAAAGTACTGATATTTCAAAGGAACAATGGAACTGTCCGGAATTACGTCCACTTTTAGACTACCTTGTAAATGATAAGCTGCCCTCAGAGGTCAAATTAAGAAAATCTATTGTCAACCTTTCAGAGCAGTATCTTGTTAAGAACAATGTTTTATATCATATATGTGAACCTAGGCACAAGAAAAGGCAACGTAATATAAGTCCATTTACACAAATTGTTGTTCCAAAGAGTTTAAGGGAAGATGTTATTGTTTCATATCACGATGGAAATGCCCATTTAGGTTTTGATAAGACATACTTTGCCATCAGATCAAAATATTACTGGTCAAAAATGTATGTCGATATTGAAAACCATGTAGCAACTTGTAAAGATTGTCAAGTGTCTAAACGACACTATGGTAATCATAAAGCCCCATTGTGTCCAATTCCTGTGGCACCTCATAGTTTTAGTAGAATCCATTTGGATATTGTCGGACCACTTCCAGTAACAAAGGAGAAATTCCGTTACATTTTAGTTGTTGTTGATTCTTTTTCAAATTGGTGTGAAGCTTTCCCAATGCAGACACAAGAAGCGACTGAAGTTGCTAAAATTATGTATGAACAAATTTTCTGTAGATATGGTGCCCCAGATGTTATTGTCACTGACAGAGGGAGCAATTTTCTATCTAAATTAGTAACTGCTGTATGTGAAAAGTTTCAGGTCACTAGACACCATACTTCTTCATTCCACCCTCAAACCAATAGTGTAGTTGAACGAGTAAACCATTCCTTAGGTCAAGCTTTAAGAACATTAAGCAATGAAAATCAAGATAACTGGTCTGATTGCATCCCTTCAGTTATGATGGCTTTTCGGAATTCAGTTTCGGTTTCTACTGGGTTTACCCCTTACCAAGTGCTATTTGGTAGACAAATGAGGCTCCCAATAGATACCTCTTTAATTCCTAAAGAAAATTTGCCACAAAATGTTAAACAACATGTAGATAATTTAAATCAACAATTAAAGTTAACAGAGCTCATTGTTCAATCAAACCGGTTAGGGCAGCAAATAAAGCAAAAGCAATACTATGATCGTGACAGTAAAGAACCACAATACGAGATTGGTCAGAAGGTATTAGTACGAAAAGAAAACATACAACCAGGTCTCACAAAGAAACTCTCTAAGAAATTTATTGGTCCCTATGAAATTGTAGAAAAAGGCCCAAATTATACATTTAAACTTAGGTTGGTTGAAAATGGCAAATTCATGAAGTCACTTGTCAATTCAAACAGATTTAAACCATTTCAAGAATCTGGGACACAAACTGTACACAATAATGATAATAATAATACAACACCAACTATTGTAAGTGACACCATTAATCCGGCTCCTCTTGTCCCTGAGAGGATAATTAAATTCAAACGTCAAAATGGAATCAACTATTATAGAATTAAATATGTAAATTTGGATTCCCTTCATAATGCATGGGTTCTGCAAGAATCAGTACCTGCCAAAATGAGAGAAGATTATCATGCTAAATTTTATAATAATAACAAGAAAAGACCTCAGAAATTAATTGTGTTCAAAAGGCAGTGAAATTAACTGACATATGGTCACCAACTGTAGATGGCATAAAAATACTTATCATAAGTTCTGCTTTAACAGTCATTTGCTTGTTTGAATTAATTAAAATATCATTACAGTATAAAAAAAATAAATTAACCAGTCAAGGGTTATCTCCCATGTGACATTACACACTGCTTGTATGTATTCAAAGTTATATAAGCCACTTTTAAATATTTGAAACTTCCCAACTTCATGGAGGCCACCTATGAACTATATTATAATTGTTGCATATGTTGTATTATAATGATATATCAATTGTGTTATTTCATGTTTAGCTCATGTGTTATTTTTTCATTTCAACATTTGTCAGGTGTCATTTCTGAAATTTGAAAAAAAAAATTCTAGATAACAATGCAGGAGCATTGTTTTACTTAACAATTCATGTTTTCTTCATCTTTTCATATAACCATTTGTCAAAGTTCATCACATTGTGTAACTTTTTGTAACTTATATAAAATATGTTGTATAAAATTGTTCCTACACATAAGACTTATATTTTTGCATCCCTTACAATGCAGGAGCATTGTTTTATTCGGCAGGGGAATCATTAACAACGATTTTGTACATGTTTTGCTTTTAATGTAGTTGTTGTATATAGGCATAAATTCTTTTAATCATTTATTATGTACTGTTATTTCTTTTTATGTAGTTTGATGAATATAATGTTTATAAAAGTTTATTATGTTTATAAAAATTTATTTACAAGCATATTGTTTAACAAATACCCCTTAAGTATAAGAATTAGTGATATCCCTTTTATGTTTCTTTTCAATGTATTTATAAATTGATAAAAGGTTGTTAACACCTTATAGGTAATTAAATTTGTTGTCCTGTAACATGTTGGTTCATTGCTGTCTGGATTAAGTTGCTATGGTCATCATGGAAACCAAGCTTGACAACCAAAGCATATATAAGGGTAAACCTAGGGTTCATTTTTATATATGCTTTGCTTGAAATAAAATTATTTTGTGGAACCAACTTTCGTTACAGGTAAGAAATTAATTTATTTTCATATTTATAATTTTTGTTATTTACTAAGATTACAAATATTTTCTATCTTAATAAAGATTCGGTATAATGTTTTTCAATATTAATAATGTTTTCAATATACAATATTTCTCTACAATGTTCTATAATGTTTCATGTATAAATATTTTTATCTTAATATATTAACAGAAAATCTCTTAAATAATTTTGATTTTTTAGTTACAAATTTTATATAGATATTCCGTTCTATGTCCTCTCATTTGTAAGACATAAGCGAGTATAATTCCCAATATTAAATCTTTCTTATTATATTAATGTGATATTATATTATTGTGATGATAGTGTTATAGATATATGCTTTGCTTGAAATAAAATTATTTTGTGGAACCAACTTTCGTTACAGCGTTTTTACTAAGAAATTTACTGGAAGAAAATAAACAAGAGCAAACCAGAATCTTGAGTTTTACAATAAGATAAGGTTCCAATAAAGACAGTGTCACAAAAAGTAAAAGGTTCCCCCCCACGTCAAAACAAATCAGACGAGAATAAACCCCTGTTACACACTCCCTAAGTAATGAAATTAATATATCAATAAATACAAACCTTTAAATAAGCTGTATGAGAAATACAAGCAAATGTAGCGTCAGGATCGTCTGCTGATAGGCCCGTCGTTCTTTGTTTATAGAGTGTAAATGTATTCTTTACTTCCTGCGTCTTATTGCCGTCTTTCATAAACTCGACTCGTGGACTGAGTTTGCCTGGTTCAGCTATGATGGTGTATATAATATCAACCAGGAGCATCGAATCTGAAACATATGTAATAGATATCATTTTTATTTATATTCTTTGGGT